CTGCTGTGTGAAATATCTGAGATTTTCTTGCCGATGTTCTTCTCTAGGACTTTAATGGTGTCATGGCTTATATTTAAGTCTTTTATCCACCTTGAATTCATTTTGGTGTATGGTGTAAGTTTGTGCTCAAGTTTCATTTTTTTGCACGTAGCTGTCCAGTTCTCCCAACACCATTTGTTGAAGAGGCTATCTTTACTCCATTTTATGTTACTGCCCCCTTTGTCGAACATTAATTGACTGTAGAGAGTTGGGTTGATTTCTGGGCTCTCTGTTCTGTTCCATTGGTATATGTGCCTGTTTTTATGCCAGTACCAGGCTGTTTTGATTACAGTGGCCTTGTAATACAATTATTAAATTAAAAAGACAACCAACTGCATGGGAAAACATATTTGCCAATGATGCCTCAGACAAAGGTTTAATCTCCAAAATATACAAAGAATTTACATAACTCCACTCTAAGAAGACATCTAACCCAATTAAAAAATGGGAAAAGGACTTGAACAGACACTTCTTCAAGGAGGACATACAGAATATCCAGAGACACATGAACAGATGTTTAATATCATTAGCTATCAGAGAGATGCAAATTAAAACCACAATGAAATACCACTTTACACTGGTCGGGATGGCTATCATAAACAAAGCAACAAACAACAAATGTTGGAGAGGTTGTGGGGAAAAGAAATCTTTAGTTCATTGTTGGTGGGATTGCAGACTGGTACAACCATTATGGAAAACAGTATGGAATTTTCTCAGAAAAATAAAAATTGACCTGCCTTTTGACCCAGCAATTTTACTGCTAGGATTATATCCTAAGAATCCTAAAACATCAATTTCAAAAAACCTATGCACCACAATGTTCATAGCAGCACAATTTACAATAGCCAAGAGTTGGAAGCAACCTAGGTGCCCGTCAGTAAATGAATGGATCAAATAATTGTGGTACATACACACAATGGAATTCTGTGCAGCAGAGAGAAAGAAGGAGCTCCTACCCTTTGCAACAACATGGATGGAACTGGAAAGAATTATGCTGAGTGAAATAGGCCAGGTGTTGAAAGACAAATACCATATGATCTCACCTTTAACAGGAAGCTAAACAACAAAACCAACAAGCGAGCAGGAAAAAAAAAAGACACTGAAATAGAGAACAAGGGGACAGTGACCAGAGGGGAGAGGGAAGGGAATTTAAGGGGGAAAAAGGAGAGTGATTTGGAGGAACAAATATGAAGGACACAGGGACGAGAACTAGGGGGTGGGAAATGGGAGGGAGGTGGGGAACACGGGGCAGGGGGGCGCTGGGATGGGAGAGATAGGCAAAAAACTGTGCTTGAAAAATAACTAAATAAAATTATTTTTAAAATAATAAATAAAATAAAAATAAATAAATAAAATATTTTTAAAAATAATAATCCTGGAACCAGTACCCAGACTCAAAATCAGAAAATTACTAGTATTACTAAAGCCTCTACATGTTATCTCCCAAATTAATTAATCTCTTACCCTAAAGGGATAATTACCCTGGTTTTTAGCATAGAGTATTATTTTCATATTTTTGGAACCATACATAGGTAGATGCTTACAGAACACGCTGTTTTATTCAACACCACTCTCGTGCACTCCAGCCATGTTGCTGTGTGGAGTTTCAGTGCATTCATTCTCATTGTGGAAAATTTTATTTTGTACAAACAGATCACCATTTATTTATCTACTTTAAGTTGATAGACAGTTATTTTCCCCTTCTATAATCAATAATGCTATTATGAACATTCTTTATTTGTTCAAATGGAATGTTTTTATTTTTCTCATAATTTAAACACTGGACACATTCTGTAATTCAGCCACTGCATTTACTAACAAGTGACTTTTTCACTGGGTCTCCATTCACTTTTAAATCACATACTTTTGGGGGGAAGGCAGTTAGTTAGTTATTCATCATTTGTTTTGTCTAGATAACATCCAAGGACAAGTATATGTATCCAGTAGTCACATACAATATGATTTAAAATTGTCCTGAATGCTGCAGTCTCAGTGTCAGTAAAAACTGTGAGCATTATGTACATGTCCTTTGGTGGAGATGTAGTCATTTATCTTGGATATAAAACCAGGATTTGAAAATGTTTTTGGTGCATGTATGGGTACAAAATTTGGATTTAGTAAATATTAACATATTTTTCCAAGAAGTATGCTAGTTCATACTTCAGCTCTCACTCTTAGTTAAATGAGTCCCGTTTGATGGGATTGGGGCTCCTGCAACCATGCAATCATTTCTGTCATCATGGTCACTTCCACTTCAGGTCAGATTCTCCAAGAGATGTAATGTAGTCCCTTGTTGTGAATATACTTGCATTCATCTGCTATTTTTAAAAATCTCTCAAAAGATAAAAATGGGTCTATGCATTGACAAGATCACACCAATGTAAATACAGAATGTGGCAGCAGGAATACTCAGTGAAGACTGTTTAGTTTAAGCCCCTCTTTTGACCGAGTGGATATGATGTTCAAAAAGGAAAAGTGATTTATTGAAAGTCCTAGTTACAGTGGGCTGAATAGAGATTCAGGCTCAGTATTACTGTTAGTGCTTCCCCAGTTCATAGCAGGTTTCTACAGAGGATTTCAAGCCAGATTAAACTTGCTGTCTCTTAAGCTCGAGCCACATACTTATAGTGAGAATTATTAGTTTTGATTTAATGAATTTTGCAAACCAGCTTTCCACCACAGGGGAGCTAATTGCTTATATTAGTATACATCAAGTCCAGTTGCCATCCCTGGTTGCCCTTATGTTTGGGGATACCAATGCCTGAGCAAAAATAAGGAGCTGTGAGGAAGGAATTGACCTATAACACCGACTCATTGCATAAAGTTATTGGAGCAGACTATACTCTTATTTTGTGCACTTGAAACTAATATAATGTTATATGCCAATTATATGTTAATAATTTTTTTAAGTATATCTTTATTACATATGTATGAATCATGGTCAGTGAACCCAATTTTATGCAACATGAATAGGTTTCATTTTTATAGATATCAATGTATTTAATGTTGTTAATAAAGTGAATTAAGTTGGGCACAGATGTGAGCAATGATGGAGAGGTTCTGATATGTGATATAATCTATAAATAACAAGTAAATTATTTGAGATTACAAGAGAAAATATTTAAGATTTAGTAAAATATTTTTATTTGTCTTAAAACTGTGTTCAATAAATAATGCACAATAAATAACCAGCTGAAAATCTCATGTTTACAATGTGTTGTTTCATTCTTGTGATGTCTGAAGTACATACATTAAGCACACTTTATACATTAAAGGGAGATAGGCATAGATAGATAGATAGATGATAGATAGATAGATAGATAGATAGATAGATGATAGATAGATAGATAGATGATAGATAGATTTTGGGGAAGATGATCTAATGAAAAACTTAGTGCAGTATCTTACTCTGTCTTCCAAGAAGAAGAGAGAGTCTCCAGGTTCCTTACAGAATTGCAACCTAAAAAATCAATGAACACTCTGAGAACCTGAGATTGTACCATGTTTTTCATGACTGGATTAACAGCTAATCATTAATAGTGTAAATATCATGTAACATTACCTTAAGTTATTAAAATAGATTTTAGCATTACTTAATATCCAGCCACTAAGCTATGACCACTATTAAAATTGTGTATAGAACTACAATTCAGTTTATTTCACAGATTCCTAGAGAACTGACTTAAGTCACTGCAAATGGAATACTACTGTAAATACTATTTTATTCTTTGCTTTTTCCCCTTCGAACATAAGTTTTTGTTAAAAATATTTCATTGCTGTTCAATTACAGCTGTCCCCACTTTCCCCCATTTCTCTCTTCTGCCCTACCAAACACCCACCTTCCACATTCAAGCCTCCATCCCATTGTCCTTGTCCATGAGTCCTTTATACATGTTCCTTGACTTGCCCCTCTCCCTTCTTTCCCTCCTTATTCTCCCCCTGCCTCTCAGGTCACTGTCAGTTTGTTCTTTATTTCCAAGTCTCTAACTCTATTTTGCTCACTTGTTTGTTTTGCTGATTTGTTTTCACTTATAGGTGAGATCACATGGTATAGTAACTCTATTCCCACTTAATCTGTATCAATTGGACATTTTATTAAAAATAATTAGTATAATGCTATGAACATGTAAAAGTAGACAAAGTCCTCTTTTCTAGTGTCTACTAGAGAAGGTCAAAGTCCTATAGCCCCAAATGCCATTCACATAGTTTCTGTTCAGTTGTCAAGAGCATGTATCTGTTCCCCAGAGTGAGGGCAAAAGTGGAAATCCAGTCTGTTGTGAAGGCTGTGATGTGTGATATAAATCTAGAGCTGCTGATACTGCTGACCCCTGGGGTAGAGTAATCAGAAATAGAGGATCTGAGAAGTGGTCTACATGACATAATCTGTGTCCCTGACACTTACTCAATCTTGGGCAAAGAACAAATTCAGGTGGTTTCTCTGTAAAATAAACATGCTACAATAAGATAAAACAATGGAAGTTTTTTCCCCTTTTTCATTGACAAAGAATATTTTTATGTCACTCTTATAGGAGACATACCTTCATTTATTCAATAAATGTTTTTGAATGGCATCCTGAAAATGAGCATTGTAAATAACAAACTAGAAATTATTATTAAGAAAAACAAGGACCTTGCATTTAAAGAACTTTGAGTTAGGGCAAGAGAATTTTATTAAAACCATTGTTTAAAAAAAGGAGCTTTAAGTATGGAGGGGGTGGCACTATGCCCATATCTATGTGGGATATATACCCATGAATACAGCAGAGTAATACACAAAGACTCTCTTCACAAAACTAAGAGTAAACCAATTACCTGGCTTTAGTTTGAAGAGATCAAGATTCATGATGACTAGTCTCTGCATTCACTTCAGGCACAAAGGTGAATAAAGAAATATTCAGAATTGCAACTATGAGACTACAGAAAACTGTTTCAAAGGCCCTATATTTTAATTCTCAACAATTCTAAACAAATATTTTTTGGTGAACATGATTTCACTCAGAACTTAATTTAGTGACAACGACTTTTTTCAGGGCACCTTTCACATCCTTATTCCTCAAACTGTAGATCAGTGGGTTCAGCATGGGGATGACAACTGTGTAGAAAACAGAGGCCATTTTGTCTGTGTCCATGGAATAACTCGAGTTGGGCCGGAAGTACATGAAGAGAAGTGTCCCAAAAAATATAGCCACAGCAGTTAGGTGGGAGGCACAGGTAGAGAAGGCTTTGTGTCTGCCCTCAGCCGACTTCATGCGAAGGATGGTAGTTATGATGTAGCTGTAGGAGAGGAGGACAGTGATGACGCTGGACCCCACAACACAACTACAGGAAACAGTCAATGCTATTTCACTAGTAGTTGTGTCTGAAGCAGAAAGAGCAAGTAAGGGTGGGATGTCACAGAAAAAGTGATTGATGATATTGGAATTGCAGAATGATAATGGGAAAGTGCAAGACATAAAGATTGCCATATCCATAAAACCTGCAGTGTAAGCAGTGGTCACAAGCTGGATGCACACTCTCCTGGACATGGTAACTGTATACAGAAGTGGATTACAAATGGCCACATAACGGTCATATGCCATGACAGACAGCATGACACATTCCACAGCCGCAAAGGTACCAAAGAAGAACATCTGAACAGCACATAAGTTATATGGGATCCTCTTTTGCTCAGATAAGAAATCAGCCAGCATCTTGGGAGAGATAGTGGAGGAGTAGCAGATATCACAGAAAGACAAATTGCTCAGGAAATAATACATGGGTGTGTGGAGTCGGGGGTCCATGCTGATCAGCAGTATCATCCCTAGGTTGGCGATTATAGTGATGCCATAAACCAGCAGGAAGAGCACAAAGAGCCCCTGCTGCACATCCTGCCTGCCAGAGAGTCCTAAGAGTATGAAGTCAGTAAACACAGTGCAGTTCTCAACAGCCATCACTCAGGTCTGGAAATCCCTGGTTGTGGAGGAAGGAAATGCAAGAGGAGGGCAAAAGCATCTTACTGTCTTAGCAGTTACACTGTTGCTTCTTTCTATTTGTCAGTAGTTAGAAAAAGAGCTTAACAATTCACATCCTCTTATGTAAACTGACTCTGCAAAATTTCCCATTTAACATAAATTCATAACATAATGAACAGCTTGCATTTGTATCATACTATATATAATATGTAGTACACTTTGACCCAAATTAAATCATTTTATTTCCACACCAACCTATGTAGTGTTTTCTTATCTTATAGATAAAGAAATTGATGTCCTCAGAGTCAACCTAGTTGTTCTTAGAATTATTTGGTCCAGAAAACCCACGTTTTATTACAAGGTTGTTTCTATTGTTGATGTTGTGTAAATGTTGTTGTATTCTGTAATAAAAAAGCATAGTGAGGTGAGAGATGCTGATAACAAATATATTTCTTGATTTTTTCCTCATTATCCAATACTGTAAATCAGGCAGATCTCTGGCTTGTTTCTTGATGTATCATGTCCCCACCTCCCCATTATCCCATGGTCCTATCCAGCCTCAGTCAACAAGGGATAAAGATACTCTGTGATCCAGGACTCTCAGAGAAGGTAGGGTTGACTAGAGAAGAAGTTGCAGGGGTCCCCGTGGATGATAGGTTAGAGTGTACACACTGGAACATGTAGGGCTAACCATGCCCCCTCTGACAGCACTGGTCAGGGAAGGTGTGTTGGGACATGATAGTAGGCATCCTGGTAACACAGGAGACCCAAGGGCAAGTGTGGATTACTGTGTGAGACCCTCTACTCTAATCTGCTAGAGTCCACTGAATCTATTTACCAAAAGATCAAATGTGCAAGATACAAGGTAATGTCCTCATGTGTCCATGGTCCCATAACCTCATAGAGATTTAGAGCTAAATTGGGCCCCATCCCAATGCCCTAAAAATTTTAAAATTGCTCGACTGTGTTCTTTATCCCCTTCCTCTTGAGAATCCCTGAAATCTGCTTTCTTTTTAGTTAAAAAGACTTGGTGCCTGGCAGGCCAATTAAATTCTCTGTTCTGCTCTTATATTTTACCCTAGCTAGACATATTATATATAATACAAAATGTGACCTCTTATATTCTGTGGGAATATGAGAAGATGATACAGAATGTAGAATAAAGTAAAAATTACATCTGAATAATAATGTAGTCATTCATATGCAGGTCTCCAAAACTTTTGATCTGAACTCATCTAATTATCTGTGCTTGTAGAGATTTTTAGAAAAAAACTTTATTCCAAATTGAACATATTTATAAAATATGTAAAAGTACAGGTAAGAGAGTAAAAACAAAAAAATGTTTAAACACCTTCATAAATAATACTCAAATTTTATTCTTCCTTGCCATTTATGAATGTCTTTAAGATAATGAGATTGATAAAAATAAATAAATGTTTGTATAATATTTCTTTCCCTCCATTACTTTTATAATATGCTTTCTGTCAAATAAAGATAGAAAAACTAGAGAAATCTAAAATAGGAATGAGAAAACTACAACGAAAAACTACCTGTTCCAGATCACGGACTTCCTTGTTGCCTGCTTTCTGTCTGGCAGAGGGTTCAGCACTGTCCCCTCAGTCTTCTGGCTTATATCACCATGGCTCTGTGTGGACCTGGGTGCTTGTCTCTCAGGAACAAGTGACAGGTATAATAAGATGTTCTATCATCTGTTATTCCCTACAGGCTGGGTGATTATGGCATGGACCTTGTTAAAGTGTTGGTTTTGCCCTTCCCTACCTTATTGCCTAGTATTGTACTTAGCAATAGTAAAATGAGTGTATTGAGGGATCTTTATGTCTAGCTCTCCAAATCTTATACAGGTGTATTGTTTCCATCTCATAATTTACAAAAACAACCACTCATGTTATGTGCAAAAGACACATATACAAACACTCTCAAACTAAACATTTTCACCAAATAAAGATTTTTGTAAATACAAAAAAACCTGACTATAATAACAGTGTTTAGGAAAAATTAAATTTTGTTGTCTATTATGAGATGTTTAAGAGTCAAATAAAAATTATATCAGAATAAAAATAGCTTATATGCAAGTAGGTATAATAAATAATGTCAATACAGTCTTTTCTACATTAATTTATTCATTCTCTTTTTGCTAATGGCTTCTATGTTTATAGAGAATCTTCAGACCATAAAATTTTGATGTGAGTAAAATTACACATACATAATTTATTATAGTTAGATTCTTCTTTAAATTAAATCCTAACGAATGGCCTTTAGAGCATATGAATTTGACTGATAATAAAGTCAATTTTGGACTTTTTACCAGAGTTTTATGTTGGATAACAATCACCATTTATTATCATATATGTTATGATACATACATCCTGAGTTGTTTTTAATAAACACATTATTTGATACAGAAATGGAAACCTAGAAGTAATAAGTAAAGTCTTTTAGAGATTTTCACTAAACTCATAAAAGTTACTCAAAATAGGTGTTCTTTGAATGTTTGGTAAAACTTACCCATGAAGCCATCTGGTTCAGGACTTTTGTTTCTTGGAAGTTTTTTGATTATTGCTTCAATTTTCTTAGTTGTAATCTGTCTATTCAGATTCTCTGATTCTGTTTTGAAAGATTGTATGTTTCTAGGAATTTATGTATTTTCTCCTGATTGTCCAATTTGTTAGCATATAGTTGTTTGTACTATTTTCTTACAACCATCTGTATTTTTTGGTATGGGGAAGAGGGATTTCTCATGCGCTGTTGGTGAGCTTGCAGATTGGTGCAACCAAGTAGAAAGCAGTATGAAAACTGCCTTATGACCAACCAATTCAATTTCTGGGAGTTTGTGCTTGGTAATGGCACCAAAGGAAATGAGCTTCATTAATCTCCTTGTTCCTGAAAACAATATTAGAAGTGGCAACACCGTAAGTCCTAGAGGAGAACATAAGCAGGAAAAATCTCAGATATTCCAAGCAGCAATATTTTTACTTACATCTTCCCTAGAACAAGAAATATAAAAAAAAAGAATAAACAAATGGAGCTTAAAGTAAAAAGCCTCTTCACAGCTAAAGAATACACCAGAAAAATGAAAGAGTAGCAAATGTATGGAAAGATACATTTGCAAATGTTACCTTGGACAAGGGTTTGATTTCCAAAATATGTAAATAATTCACGAGACTCCACTCGAAGAAGACAAAGAACCCAATTAGAAAATGGGCAAAATACATGAACAGATAATTCTCCGAAGAGGATATGCAGAGGGCCAAGAAGCACATGTAAAGATGCTAGCCATTAAAGAGATGAAAATTAAAACCACAACGAGATACCACCCACACCGGTCAGAATGGTCAGTATAACCAATCAACAAACAATAAGTGCTGGTGAGGTTGTAGAGAAAAGAAAACCCTAGTGCACTTTTTGTGGGAATGTAGACTGGTGTAGTCACTCTGGAAAACACTAGGGATTTCCTCAAAAAACTAAAAATGAAACTGACTTTTGACCTGACAATTCCACTGCTGGGATTATGCCCTAAGAATTCTGAAACACCAATTCAAAACAAACTATGGACCCCAATGTTCATAGCAGCACAATTTACATAAACCAAGTGTCATAAGCATTATAAGTGCCTATAAGTAAATAAGTGGATCAAAAAATTTGTGGGAAGGGCTGGGATGGGAGTAAAAGACAGAAAACTGTACATGAACAAAAATTAAAATTAAAAAAATAAAAGAAAAAAATTATAGTACATTTATACAATGAAATACTACACAGCAGAAAGAAAGAAAGAGCTCCTACTCTTCATGACAGTATGGCTGGATCTGGAGAGCATTATACTAAGTGAAAGTAGCCAGCTAGTGAAAGACAAATACCATATGATCTCACATATAAGTGGAACATACTCAATAAAACAAACAAGCAAAATATAACCAGAGACATTGAAGTAAAGAACAAACTGTCAGTAACCAGAGGGGAGAGGAAAGGAATAATGGGGTAAGTTGGGGAAGGGTCGTTAATGAACATATATGAAGAATACACGGACAAAACCAAAGGGAGTAGGATCAGGGTGGGAGGCAGGGTTGGGTAGGCCAGGAAAGAGTTGTGGTTTGAAAATGGAGAAAACTGTACTTCAACAACAATAAAAAAAAAATGTGTTCAGAGTTTGAATAAGATATCTTTGCTTAAAAAATACACTGATTACTTATAACCAAAAAGACAAATTTTCAAAGAAATATTCCATAAAGTTTGCTCCATTATTTTACAAGAATATACTGAACTTTATTGTAGACAAGGCAGACTGAAAATAAGCACTTTACAATAATAAAATTCTGAAGTTTCTTGTCACCTAATGGTTCATACATTGATTTGCTTTTTGGAGAAATATTTTGATATGTAATGTCCATGAAAATACTTAAATGATAAGTATATAGCAATATGAATTTAAAAAAATACCCTAGTAACCAGGACCAGAACAATAGATAGATACTGCCAGAATCACCAAAGCCCTCCACTTGAGGATATCCTTTTCTTAAAATGTTTTATTGATTTGTTTTTAGAGAGACGGGGCAGGAGGGAGAAAAAGGGAGAGAAACATGTTGTGAGAGGGATACAGCAGTTGGTTGCCTCTTGTACACGTCCCGACAGGAGACTGAACCTGCAACTCAGGCCTGGGTCCTGGTTGGGAATCAAACTGGCAACCTTTCACTTTGCAGACAACCTGCAACAAACTGATTCAAACTGATCTGGGCACGAGCAATTCTCTTTAGTCACTAGACTCTTCATCCAAAGGAGTAATTACATTCTTCATTATTATCACTGTATAATAGTTTTTGAAGTGAGTAGAAGCAGACACCTAAAGCATGTGCTGCTGTAGGCAGTTATACACTTGTTCATGTTACTGCATTCAGTTGCAAAGATGGATCCCACTGGTGTACAGCATTCTTTTCTACAAATATATTGTTACTTATTGATCTACT